GTACCACCTTCCATCCCTCCATCCCCTCCTACAGTACCAGCTTCCATCCCTCCATCTCCTCCCAGTACCACCTTCCATCCCTCCATCTCCTCCCAGTACCACCCTTCCATCCCTCCATCTCTTCCCAGTACCACCTTCCATCCCTCCATCTCCTCCCAGTACCACCTTCCATCCCTCCATCTCCTCCCAGTACCACCTTCCATCCCTCCATCTCCTCCCACCTTCCACCCTCCCTTCCATCCCTCCATCCCCCTCCTCCCCAGTACCACCTTCCATCCCTCCATCTCCTCCCAGTACACACCACCTTCCATCCCTCCATCTCCTCCCAGTACCACCTTCCATCCATCCATCTCCTCCTACACACCGCCTTCCATCCCTCCATCTCCTCCCAGTACCAACTTCCATCCCTCCATCTCCTCCCCTCACCACCCTTCCATCCCTCCATCTCCTCCCAGTACCACCTTCCATCCCTCCATCTCCTCCCAGTACCACCTTCCATCCCTCCATCTCCTCCCAGTACACCCTTCCATCCCTCCATCTCCTCCCAGTACAACCTTCCATCCCTCCATCACACCATCATCTCCTCCCAGTACTACCTTCCATCCCTCCATCTCCTCCCAGTACCACTTCCATCCCTCCATCTCCTCCTCCATACCACCTTCCATCCCTCCATCTCCTCCAGTACACCTTCCATCCCTCCATCTCCTCCAGTACACACCTTCCATCCCTCCATCTCCTCCCAGTACCACCTTCCATCCCTCCATCTCCTCCCACCCACCTTCCATCCCTCCATCTCCTCCCAGTGCCACCTTCCATCCCTCATCCCCTCCCAGTACCACCTTCCATCCTTCCATCCCTCCATCTCCTCCCAGTACTACCACATCCCTCCCATCTCCTCCTAGTAACACCTTCCCATCCCTCCATCTCCTCCCAGTACTACCTTCCATCCCTCCATCTCCTCCCAGTACCACCTTCCATCCCTCCATCTCCTCCCAGTACCACCTTCCACCCTCCATCTCCTCCTACATACTAGCTTCCACCTTCCATCCCTCCATCTCCTCCCAGTGCCACCTTCCATCCCTCCATCTCCTCCTACTACCAGCTTCCATCCCTCCATCCCCTCTTAGTGCCACCTTACATCCCTCCATCTCCTCCCAGTACCAACTTCCATCCCTCCATCTCCCCCCCAGTACTGCCTTCCATCCCTCCATCTCCTCCCAGTACCACCTTCCTTCCATCCCTCTCCTCCCAGTACTGCCTTCCATCCCTCCATCTCCTGCCAGTACCACCTTCCATCCATCTCCTCCCAGTACACCAACCCTCCCATCCCTCCATCTCCTCCAGTACCCCTTCCATCCCTCCATCTCCTCTCAGTACCGCCTTCCATCCCTCCATCTCCTCTCAGTACCACCTTCCATCCCTCCATCTCCTCCCAGTACCACCTTCCATCCCTCCATCTCCTCCCAGTACCACCTTCCATCCCCCATCTCCTCCCAGTACCACCTTCCATCCCTCCATCTCCTCCCAGTACCACCTTCCATCCCTCCATCTCCTCCCAGTACCACCTTCCATCCATCTCCCATCTCCTCCAGTACCACCTTCCATCCCTCCCATCTCTCCTCCGTGTACCACCTTCCATCCCTCCATCTCCCTCCCAGTACCACCTTCCATCCCTCCATCTCCTCCCAGTACAACCTTCCATCCCTCCATCTCCTCCCAGTACCACCTTCCATCCCTCCATCTCCTCCCAGTACAACCTTCCATCCCTCCATCTCCTCCCAGTACAACCTTCCATCCCTCCATCTCCTTCCGGTTCTACCTTGTATCCCTCCATCTTCATCATCCATCAAACCCCAACAGCGGTCTTCTTTCTGTAGTACCTTCCATTCCTCCGTTTCCTTTTGCTCACCTTCCAGCCTTTGATTCTTTTCAATATCATGTACAACTCCCCGACCCCCCCCCCCCCCCCCACACACACATACATTATATATAACACCCACACATACATACACCCACACCCACAACACCACACACCACATACACACGCACACATAACACACCACCCACCACCCCACCCACCCCCCCACCACCCCCCACACCCCCCAACAAACCCCAAAACAACCAACAACCACACCCACCCCCCCACCCCCACACCCCCCCCCCCCCCACAACACACACCCCACCCACACCAACACCCCCCACACCACACAACCCAAACAACACACACCACCCACCCCCCCATACCCCCACCACACAACACCCCACACACACACACGCCACACCACACACCCCACCACAACCCCCCCCCACATACAACCCACACCACCACCCCCCACACCACACACACCCCCCACACACCACACCCCCCACCCACACACCACACACACACACACACACCACCCCAACCCACGCACACCACGATGATATCGCTGTGTCCCCCTCGATGGTAATCCGGGCAATCCTCTATGGTGGGGATAATGAGCACTACAGGAGTTCCAGCAATAATAGCTCAGATGCCCCTTCATGGATTTGGCCAACATACTCTCCTCTCCAATGGCCCCCACATGAAAAATTAGAATCAAAAGCTTCCCATAGTGTAGTAAGTCAATAATTATTGGTAAAAAAGAAAGCAAAGTGACTATTCACATTTAAAACAAGGTCCGCAGACCCATACAGGCAAGAAACCCTGCAATGCAGAGAGGTGTGTAGACTTAAGGAGTACCAAGATGGCGGCTGCCGTCTGTACCGGAAGTGACGTCACCACGCTTCCGTCCTACGCATTGTGTCACGAGTCACGTGACTTCCTCAGGGCTCCTGTGAGTGCTCATTATCTCCACCATAGAGGATTGCCATGATTATCAACGATTTCTTTAAAAAAGTCCTGGATTCCTTCTCAGATACACAGAATATAACTGGATAGAACATTTATAGGGAACGTTGATCCAGGGAATATCCGATTTGCCTCTCGGGGGGTCTCTCGGTGTTACACCGATCATTGACACTCCACGAGGTGAGATCTTGCATGGTGCACCAGACCTAGGGAGACTGACACTTGTTTTGTGTTTCTTCCATTTGTGAATGATTGCACCAACTGTTGTCACCTTCTCACCAAGCTGCTTGGCCATAGTTTGGTAGCCCAGTCCAGCCTTGTGTAGGTCTACCATCTTGTCCCTGACATCCTTGGACAGCTCTTTGGTCTTTGCCATGGTGGAGAGTTTGGAATCTGATGGTTTGATGGCTCCTGTGGACAGGTGTCTTTTATACAGGTAACACAATGAGATTAGCAGCACTCCCTTTAAGAGACTGCTTCTAATCTCAGCTTGTTACCTGTATGAGAGACACCTGGGAGCCAGAAATCCTGCTGAATGATAGGGGATCAAATCCTTCTTTCCCTCATGAACATGCAGATCCGTCATCATTTGTTAGACGCATTCCATTGTTAGACCGATCATTTCTGTGTGAGGGGCGAACATTCCATTGTTAGACCGATCGTTTCTGTGTGAGGGGCGAACATTCCATTGTTAGACCGATCGTTTCTGTGTGAGGGGCGAACATTCCATTGTTAGAACGATCGTTTCTGTGTGAGGGGCGAACATTCCATTGTTAGACCGATCATTTCTGTGTGAGGGGCGAACATTCATTGTTAGACCGATCGTTTCTGTGTGAGGGGGCAACATTCCATTGTTAGACTGATCGTTTCTGTGTGAGGGGCGAACATTCCATTGTTAGAACGATCGTTTCTGTGTGAGGGGCGAACATTCCATTGTTAGACATCATTTCTGTGTGAGGGGCGGACATTCACCATCAGGGGGGGCAAATACACATTTCCTGCACGGTAGATGGGACAATTGTATCTGCTGATCTGTACAATGGATTCTGGTATATAGATGGGATCATTGTTGATCTGTACAATGGATCTAGGTGGTGATGGGTGAGATCCACACACTGTCATCTCTGTCCTCTGAATTCCATCATTCCTCAAGATTTCTCTTCTCTGTTGGTGAATATTTTTTTTTATTATCTTATTTCCTCTTCACAGGCGATGGAATGTTTTCATTTCCGGGATAAAGAGCCGCCATTTGGAATTCCAGCTATTGTCTGTGGTTTGTGGATTTATCTTCACGAAAGTAGAGAACTTGGCCACTTCCGGAGGTTATGGATTAAGATTCTGTTCAGCTGGAATAGTTGTTCATCATTTGGTCTGAACCCAAGTCCTTCCCGTCTCCCGGGATCTGGATGACAGAGGATCCTCATTAATAGATCACCGATCTTGGATTCCCTCATTGGCTGTTCTGCTGCAGATGAAGACTTAGTCTGATAAGATATTAATGTGAATTATTATTCCACGGAAACCCCCATTATTACAGAACTTCCCGTGATTGGCCGGTCATGGCTCTTGTCCTACATATCCTCTCTCCTGCTTGCTTGGTTTGGGCTCCTGGGTTGCCATCAATGGAGTGTGGGTGGAGTTGCCTCTGTTGGTGCCTCAGGCACCAGAAGGTTGGGAGTTGCCCTCTTACTTGTCTCTTCTTATCCAGTTTGCCAATATTGGGCCCCTGGCAGTCACACTGACTCATAAGTTTCGTCCGGGGCACCTCCGGGAGGGTCCTGTCATTTTTGTCCTGTTAGGGGTAGGGGTTGTGTCCTGTTTGCTTCTGGCATTTCTGTGGCAGGAAACAAGCTGGGTAGGGGGCACACGGAGGAGTACGGCCCTGCTCTCTCTCATCTTCTTCCTGTCCTTGGTGGACTGCACCTCTTCCGTCACCTTCCTTCCATACATGACCCGCCTCCGGCCAGACTACCTTGTCTCCTATTTCATTGGAGAGGGACTAAGTGGGTTGATGCCAGCACTCCTGGCCCTGGCTCAAGGCGTTGGGGTGTTGAGGTGCCAACCAGTGAACATCACCGGAACCAATGGGTCCTTTGTCCTGGGAAATCTCACAGCTGTTTACCAGCCAGCCAGGTTCCCGGCCTGGAGCTTCTTCTTGTTTCTGGCCGGTATGATGGTCATCTGCCTGATAGCCTTTACTACCCTTCACACCATGCCCAGCACACACAGACACCAGGAGGTGCTAAAGAACCAGAAAAGAGGTCAGGAGGAGTCCTGGGGAAAGGGGGTGGAGCAACGACCAATGATGGGAGAAGAGGTCAGTGCGGAGGTTGCCGAGGTGAAGGAAAGTCAAAGATATTCCCTGTATGAAAAGATCTTCATCTTCCTTGTCCTGGCCTGGATCAACGCGCTGACCAACGCTGTACTTCCTGCAGTTCAGACTTACTCCTGCATGCCCTACGGAGGACGCATCTACCATTTGGCCGCCACTCTTGCCTCCATGGCAAACCCATTGGCCTGCGGCATAGCCATGTATCTACCCAACAGGTACTGGGAATGGGAGTACTAACTGGACACCATATATTGGTGATATTGCTTTGTGAACATCAAGCTGTGTATACATGCAGGGTTCAGAGGTCAGATCCGTGTACTGATGCTATAGATTCAGGCCACTGCCATGTATGGCCAGCATGAAACACAATGGGCCGTATGTTACATACGCCTGACCACTGCACTCTGAATGATGGGCTGTATGATACATACTCCTGACCATTGCATTGTGTATGATGGACTGTATGTTACATACTCCTCACCACACCACTCTATACAATGAGCTGTATGTTACATACGCCTGACCTCTGCATTCTATGCAAATAGTTGTATGTTACATACTCCTGACCTCTGCATTCTATGCAATGAATTGTATGTTACATACTCCTGACCTCTGCATTCTATGCAATGAATTGTATGTTACATACTCCTGACCACAGCACTCTGTACAATGAGTTGTATGTTACATACACCTGACCTCTACATTCTATGCAATGAGTTGTATGTTACATACTCCTGACCACTGCATTCTATGCAAATAGTTGTATGTTACATACTCCTGACCTACTGCATTCTATGCAATGAGCTGTATGTTACATACCCCCGACCTCTACATTCTATGCAATGAGTTGTATGTTACATACTCCTGACCACAGCACTCTGTACAATGAGCTGTATGTTACATACACCTGACCTCTACATTCTATGCAATGAGTTGTATGTTACATACTCCCACACCACAATGCACTCAGTACAATGATTGTACAATGTGTATGTTACATACACCTGACCTCTACATTCTATGCAATGAGTTGTATGTTACATACGCCTGACCTCTACATTCTATGCAATGAGTTGTATGTTACATACTCCTGACCTCTGCATTCTATGCAATGAGTTGTATGTTACATACTCCTGACCACAGCACTCTGTACAATGAGCTGTATGTTACATACACCTGACCTCTACATTCTATGCAATGAGTTGTATGTTACATACTCCTGACCACAGCACTCAGTACAATGATTTGTATGTTACATACACCTGACCTACAATGAGTTGTATGTTACATACGCCTGACCTCTACATTCTATGCAATGAGTTGTATGTTACATACTCCTGACCTCTGCATTCTATGCAATGAATTGTATGTTACATACTCCTGACCACAGCACTCAGTACAATGATTTGTATGTTAAAGTGGTTTTAAAGGCTCATTCTATGCATGAAGGTAACAATCTTCAATGTGCAGCATCCCCCCCCCCCCCCAGTCCACCTAATACTCGTCTAGGCCCCCTCTCCATCCAGTGATGTGCAGTGGAGTCTCGGCTATCCTGGGACTCCCTCTCCTCATTGGCTGAGACAGCAGCAGGGGCCATTAACTCTCCCGCTGCTGTCAATCACAGCCAGTGAGCCAATGGGAAGAGAGAGGGGCGGGGCCATGCTCCATGTGTAAATGGAAACATGGAGTAGCGGGTGCCCCCATAACAAGCTGCTTGCTGTGGGGGCACATGACAGAGGGAGGGTCCAGGAGCGCCAGTGGTGGACCAAAGAGGAGGATCTGGGCTGCTCTGTGCAGAACCATAACAGACAGCAGGTAAGTATGATGTGTTTGGTTTTTTTTTATCTAGGCCTTTAATATCACTTTAAATTCTCCTGCTCATTGCACTCTGTACACTGGGCTGTACATGACATGACACCCTCCTGACCCCCTGCGCTCTCTGTACACTGGGCTGTACATGACACCCTCCTGACCCCTGCGCTCTGTACACTGGGCTGTACATGACACCCTCCTGACCCCTGCCCTCTGTACACTGGGCTGTACATGACACCCTCCTGACCCCTGCGCTCTGTACACACTGGGCTGTACATGACACCCTCCTGACCCCTGCGCTCTGTACACTGGGCTGTACATGACACCCTCCTGACCCCTGCACTCTGTACACTGGGCTGTACATGACACCCTCCTGACCCCTGCGCTCTGTACACTGGGCTGTACATGACACCCTCCTGACCCCTGCGCTCTGTACACTGGGCTGTACATGACACCCTCCTGACCCCTGCGCTCTGTACACTGGGCTGTACATGACACACTCCTGACCCCTGCGCTCTGTACACTGGGCTATACATGACACCCTCCTGACCCCTACGCTCTATACACTGGGCTGTACATGACACACTCCTGACCCCTGCGCTCTGTACACTGGGCTGTACATGACACACCTCCTGACCCCTGCTCTCTGTACACTGGGCTGTACATGACACCCTCCTGACCCCTACGCTCTGTACACTGGGCTGTACATGACACACTCCTGACCCCTGCGCTCTGTACACTGGGCTGTACATGACACACTCCTGACCCCTGCGCTCTGTACACTGGGCTGTACATGACACCCTCCTGACCCCTGCGCTCTGTACACTGGGCTGTACATGACACCCTCCTGACCCCTGCGCTCTGTACACTGGGCTGTACATGACACCCTCCTGACCCCTGCGCTCTGTACACTGGGCTGTACATGACACCCTCCTGACCCCTGCGCTCTGTACACTGGGCTGTACATGACACACTCCTGACCCCTGCGCTCTGTACACTGGGCTATACATGACACCCTCCTGACCCCTACGCTCTATACACTGGGCTGTACATGACACACTCCTGACCCCTGCGCTCTGTACACTGGGCTGTACATGACACACTCCTGACCCCTGCTCTCTGTACACTGGGCTGTACATGACACCCTCCTGACCCCTACGCTCTGTACACTGGGCTGTACATGACACACTCCTGACCCCTGCGCTCTGTACACTGGGCTGTACATGACACACTCCTGACCCCTGCGCTCTGTACACTGGGCTGTACATGACACTACCTCTGACCCCTGCACTCTGTACACTGGGCTGTACATGACACACTCCTGACCCCTACGCTCTGTACATTGGGCTGTACATGACACACTCCTGACCCCTGTGCTCTGTACACTGGGCTGTACATGACACCCTCCTGACCCCTGCGCTCTGTACACTGGGCTGTACATGACACACTCCTCACCCCTGCGCTCTGTACACTGGGCTGTACATGACACCCTCCTGACCCCTACGCTCTGTACACTGGGCTGTACATGACACCCTCCTGACCCCTACGCTCTGTACACTGGGCTGTACATGACACACTCCTGACCCCTGCACTCTGTACACTGGGCTGTACATGACACACTCCTGACCCCTGCACTCTGTACACTGGGCTGTACATGACACACTCCTGACCCCTACGCTCCCTGCTCTGTACACTGGGCTGTACATGACACCCTCCTGACCCCTGTGCTCTGTACACTGGCTGTACATGACACCCTCCTGACCCCTGCGCTCTGTACACTGGGCTGTACATGACACCCTCCTGACCCCTGCACTCTGTACACTGGGCTGTACATGACACCCTCCTGACCCCTGCGCTCTGTACACTGGGCTGTACATGACACCCTCCTGACCCCTACGCTCTGTATACTGGGCTGTACATGACACCCTCCTGACACTACGCTACGCTCTATACACTGGGCTGTACATGACACCCTCCTGACCCCTACGCTCTGTACACTGGGCTGTACATGACACCCTCCTGACCCCTACGCTCTGTACACTGGGCTGTACATGACACACTCCCTGAGCCCTGCACTCTGTACACTGGGCTGTACATGACACACTCCTGACCCCTACGCTCTGTACACTGGGCTGTACATGACACCCTCCTGACCCCTGCACTCTGTACACTGGGCTGTACATGACACACTCCTGACCCCTGCACTCTGTACACTGGGCTGTACATGACACCCTCCTGACCCCTACGCTCTGTACACTGGGCTGTACATGACACCCCTCCTGACCCCTGCCCCTGCACTCTGTACACTGGGCTGTACATGACACACTCCTGACCCCTGTGCTCTCTACACTGGGCTGTACATGACGCACTCCTGACCCCTGTGCTCTGTACACTGGGCTATACATGACACCCTCCTGACCTCTGCACTCTGTACACTGGGCTGTACATGACACACTCCTGACCCCTGCACTCTGTACACTGGGCTGTACATGACACACTCCTGACCCCTGCACTCTGTACACTGGGCTGTACATGACACCCTCCTGACCCCTACGCTCTGTACACTGGGCTGTACATGACACCCTCCTGACCCCTGCACTCTGTACACTGGGCTGTACATGACACCCTCCTGACCCCTACGCTCTGTACGCTGGGCTGTACATGACACCCTCCTGACCCCTGCACTCTGTACACTGGGCTGTACATGACACACTCCTGACCCTGCGCTCTGTACGCTGGGCTGTACATGACACACTCCTGACCCCTGCGCTCTGTACGCTGGGCTGTACATGACACCCTCCTGACCCCTACGCTCTATACACTGGGCTGTACATGACACCCTCCTGACCCCTACGCTCTGTACACTGGGCTGTACATGACACCCTCCTGACCCCTACGCTCTATACACTGGGCTGTACATGACACACCCTCCTGACCCCTGCGCTCTGTACACTGGGCTGTACATGACACCCTCCTGACCCCTAGGCTCTGTACACTGGGCTGTACATGACACACTCCTGACCCCTGCGCTCTGTACACTGGGCTGTACATGACACCCTCCTGACCCCTGCACTCTGTACACTGGGCTGTACATGACACCCTCCTGACCCCTGCACTCTGTACACTGGGCTGTACATGACACCCTCCTGACCCCTGCACTCTGTACACTGGGTGTCTTTGGCTCCCTGACTTGTGGCACAGCAATTGAATGTCGGTAGGACTGTCTCCTCTCAAGTCTCGGTGTGTGTATACCCCTTTAAATGCCAGCACAGTGAAGCCACACCCACTATGCGCACCCCATCGAGCTTCCTGTGTGCTCCTCGCCCAGGGACTTGTGTGGGACTGTGGGGGGGGGGGGGGGGAGGGTTAGTGCTGTACCAAGGAGCTGACACTCTAAGGCTCCCCCAGTTATAGGGACACCATGGTGGTAGTCTGTTTTAGGTCAGCCAGTGGAAGCGCACACGCATGGAGGGGGGACATACCTCCTTTATGGTGGAGAACCCGAGTTCGGGCCCCAGCGGTGTGGACCCCGTCACCGGTGACACCTGTCTCTCTCCTGCAGGTCTCTGGTCGTTGTCGGAGTGCTGTCATTGGTCGGTTCCATTATCGGCTCTTACATCATGGGTATTGCAGTGCTGAGTCCTTGTCCACCTCTTCTGCACAGCGCCATTGGAGGAGCACTCATGGTAGGTACCCTGATGGGGAACGAACCTCCACTCCAGCCCTGGCCTCGTCTTGTGTCCTCCAACAGTTGGGGGGTCTTCTCATATCACTCTTCTATGTTTAGCTGGCCCAGGATTTCACAGTCCCTTCCCAAGGAGGACGGGAAGCCAGTATCACCGGGGAGAGCAGAATTGAAGGGATGCTGATCAGTGTTCCGCTCGGTCCACCATGTTGATCCATTGGCCCTTCTCCATGGAAGCCATGGGGCTCCCTACACTACATTGGTGATGGCCAAAAAAACCCCGAAACCACCTCGACAAGTAAAAACTATCCATGAGTGTCCCGATTTCTGCCTCTGATTGGATGATGGTTGGGTCAAAGTTATTTCTGGGACGAGGCTTGGGGACAAAAAAAGGGTTGGGTCGAAGTCATTTTTGGAGCGAAGTTTGCGGACAAAAAATTGTATCGAAAGAGGATTTCCTATTGACCTGTCCAATCCATCCCAGTGAGGGGAGGATATACGGAAAGGCCTGTTCCTGGTTCAGTCCATTGGAGAAGTTGGGTAGGCAGTGCTGTCATGGATGGGAAGGTGTCTTTCCTACTTCATTATTTTTGGGGGGACATCTGCCCATCTATGTCCGGACATTTCCAACCAGCTCACAAAAAAACATGGTGGACCTAGAAGGGCAGAGAAGGGTCACTAAATGAATACTGGGCACAGTGAAAAGATTACCTGAATGGATGGTACCGTTCCAAAGGGATACGGTCTCTTTGGGGCAAAGTTCTTCACCTAACAGTCGCCATAAAAGTCGGGGGGGGAGGTGCACCTGGACCAAAAGAGATGGAACCTAACAGAGTAGATGACTTGACAACAACAGGCCGGATGGGTTCCTGGTCCTGAATGCACAAAGTAGACCTGGCCAAATATCTTTATGAGGAATATCGTGGACGATGGTTGATCCAGGGAGTGTCTGACTATGTCTGGGGATCGGGAAGGAATTTTTTCTTCTGTTAGAGTAGATTTGATGACTTTTAGGTTTTTTTTTTTGCCTTCCTCTGGATCATTGATGGCTTCAGGGCTCTGAGGACTGAAGATGGTTTTATGTAGCTTGAACTCGATGGACTTCGTTCTTCATCTTAGCCTAGATGAATGTGGAACTAGCTGGGTGGAGGGTCACGTGTGGGATTTATAGAGGACTGACGTGAGGGATGAGGACGTCACCATGTAGTCCACACGTGAGGCTCATGATCTGTCTGTCTCTCCGCAGGTCGTCTCCTGGGTGCTCTTTGTTGGGATCCTCTCCTATGTGAAAGTGGTTATCGGAATGATTCTACGAGATGAAGGACACAGCGCCCTCGTCTGGTGTGGTGCAGTGGTGCAGCTGGGCTCTATGGTGGGGGCCCTGACTATGTTCCCTTTGGTCAACGTGTACTCCTTCTTCTGGTCTGGGGACCCCTGCATGGACAACTGCCCCCAATAACATCCCAGGAGGATCCCCAATACCTGCAGATAATACTGAGAAATGCAATGATGGGAGGAGTCAAAGAGGAAAAATAGGAGGAGTCAGAGAATAACGATAGGAGTCAGGGAGAATGATGGGAGGGGTCAGGGAGAATGATGGGAGGGGTCAGGGAGAATGATGGGAGGGTTCAGGGAAAATAATGATAGGACTCAGGAAGACTGATGGGAGGAGTCATACAGAATAATGGGAGGAGTTATGTGGAGCAATATGAGACGTTCTATCAAGTATTTGGGAAGCTACATGGAATAATAGAATGTGTATTATGGCGCAGTGGGAGGAGTTATATAGAATAATGCAGGTAGTATTGGGAGGAATTATTGGTAGAGGCTTTGTAGTTAGTAGTGGGAGGAGCTATGCACAGTGATGGGTGGAGCTCCACAAGTGGTACAGGGAGGAGTCACACACTACTTTTTTGTCTTTAGTAAGAAGTTGTCAGTTTTGTTCTACAACCACCAATCAGATTTGGCTCCACCCTGGAAAAATGACAATTTGAGAAAGAGGTTGAAGTTCCGGTTGGTGGACGTGAACTGAGGAGAGCCGAGTGATAGGTGGGAGGGGTTAGTAGGAGCTTCGCTCTAATGGCCTCATTGGTAATTGTATGAGTAGATTCGTGAGGCCACTGTCACTGGAAGTGCAAAATCAGAGGAAGACGGAAAACGGTTGGCGGTGGTCTCTGCCTCCACACTGCAGGCGTGTACAAAGACGCAGACTTGGCGTGAGATGGGAGGAGTGGTACACTGCATGGAATAAGCACAGGGGGCTGGGAGGGTGATGGTCTAGGGGCTCTGGGGAAGGGAAGTGTGGGCTGGGGATTCCAAGGCATGGGGAAGAGGGGTTGGTGGTCTAGGGGATCTGGGGAAGGAAGTGTGGGCGGGGGATTCCAAGGCATGGGGAAGAGGGGTTGGTGGTCTAGGGGCTCTGGGGAAGGGAAGTATGGGCGGGGGATTCCAAGGCATGGGGAAGAGGGGTTGGTGGTCTAGGGGCTCTGGGGAAGGGAAGTATGGGCGGGGGATTCCAAGGCATGGGGAAGAGGGGTTGGTGGTCTAGGGCAGTGATGGCGAACCTTTTTGAGCCCGAGTGCCCAAACTGCAACCCAAAACCAACTTATTTCTTTCAAAGTGCCAACACTGCAATGAAACCTGAATATCGAGCTTTTGGTTTAGAAAAAACAACTCGTACAGAAGTGCAAACTAATTAACAGTACAGGAGATGACCAGAGACTGCGGACAGTACAGGAGATGACCAGAGACTGCGGACATAGTACAGGAGATGACCAGAGACTGCGGACACAGTACAGGAGATGACAAGAGACTGCAGACACAGTACAGGAGATGACCAGAGACTGCGGACATAGTACAGGAGATGACCAGAGACTGCGGACACAGTACAGGAGGAGATGACCAGAGACTGCGGACACAGTACAGGGAATGACCAGAGACTGCAGACATAGTACAGGAGATGACCAGAGACTGCGGACAGTACAGGAGATGACCAGAGACTGCAGACACAGTACAAGAGATGACCAGAGACTGCGGACATAGTACAGGAGATGACCAGAGACTGCGGACACAGTACAGGAGATGACCAGAGACTGCGGACACAGTACAGGAGATGACCAGAGACTGCAGACATAGTACAGGAGATGACCAGAGACTGCGGACAGTACAGGAGATGACCAGAGACTGCAGACACAGTACAGGAGATGACCAGAGACTGCAGACACAGTACAGGAGATGACCAGAGACTGCGGACACAGTACAGGGAATGACCAGAGACTGCAGACACAGTACAGGAGATGACCAGAGACTGCGGACATAGTACAGGAGATGACCAGAGACTGCAGACATAGTACAGGAGATGACCAGAGACTGCAGACATAGTACAGGAGATGACCAGAGACTGCAGACACAGTACAGGAGATGACCAGAGACTGCGGACATAGTACAGGAGATGACCAGAGACTGCGGACACAGTACAGGGGATGACCAGAGACTGCGGACACAGTACAGGAGATGACCAGAGACTGCGGACACAGTACAGGAGATGATCAGAGACTGCGGACATAGTACAGGAGATGACCAGAGACTGCGGACATAGTACAGGAGACACCAGAGACTGCAGACACGGTACAGGAGATGACCAGAGACTGCGGACATAGTACAGGAGATGACCAGAGACTGCGGACACAGTACAGGAGATGACCAGAGACTGCGGACAGTACAGGAGATGACCAGAGACTGCGGACAGTACAGGGAATGACCAGAGACTGCTGACACAGTACAGGAGATGACCAGAGACTGCAGACATAGTACAGGAGATGACCAGAGAGACTGCAGACATAGTACAGGAGATGACCAGAGACTGCGGACACAGTACAGGAGATGACCAGAGACTGCAGACATAGTACAGGAGATGACCAGAGACTGCGGACACAGTACAGGAGATGACCAGAGACTGCGGACAGTACAGATGACTGCTGACCTTTGGGGAGGGAGGGGGAGCGGGTACCTGAATTTGACAGGTACCCGCTCTTACTTCCGCAGAGTTTTTTTTTTTATCTTACCTGTTCCTCTATCCAGCCGCGCGTTGTCTTCCCGGCTTCTGTAGTGTGGGCGCTCGTCGGACAGCCGGATGCCCAGTGCGCATGCGCGAGAAGCGCTGCGCTTTGTGATTGGTCCGGCGGCTTCTGGGATCTGTCATGTGTCCCAGGTACCGCCTTACCATTCACAAAGAGCACTGCTTCTTGTGCATGCGCACTTGGGACCCGGCTGTCACGCACACTACAGCCGGGAAGACAGCGCGCCGCTGGATTCTCCTGGCGTGCCCACAGATAAGGCTCGGCGTGCCACGGGTTCGCCATCACTGGTCTCTAGGGGATCTGGGGAAGGGAAGTGTGGGATGGGGATTCTAAGGCATGGGGAAGAGGGGTTTATGGTCTGGACCCTAGGGAAGGGAATTGGCGGTATGGGGGTTCTGTGGCCTGGGAAAGGAGGGTTGGTGGTCTGGGGCTTTGTGGCCTGGGAAGGGAGGGTAATGGTCTAGGGCAGGGGTCTGCAACCTTTAAGACATAAAGAGCCACTTGGACCCGTTTCCGAGAGGGAAAAAAAGACTGGGAGCCGCAAAACCATTGCAACATTTAAAACAAATCCGACACTGCATATATTGCAAAAAGCGCTCTGGTCATGAAGGGGGTTTAAGGGCCCAGTAAGCAAAGGGTTAATCAGGGCCACAGTGTATCGTCATAATCACAATCATAGCCTTAGGTCAGTGGTGGGCAACCTTTTTTTTCAACTGAGCCAAATCTCGCCAAAACCACGATTAAAATTTATTTTGAGAGCCACATTTTTAAAACTGAAAATACATCTCCCATATAGTAATTCATCCCCCATATAGTAATTCATCCCCCATATAGTAATTCATCCCCCATAGTAATTCATCCCCCATATAGTAATTCATCCCCCATATAGTAATTCATCCCCCATATAGTAATTCATCCCCCATAGTAATTCATCCCCCATATAGTAATTCTTCCCCCATATAGTAATTCATCCCCCATATAGTAATTTCATCCCCCATAGTAATTCATCCCCCATATAGTAATTCATCCCCCATAGTAATTCATCCCCCATATAGTAATTCATCCCCCATAGTAATTCATCCCCCATATAGTAATTCATCCCCCCTATAGTAATTCATCCCCATATAGTAATTCATCCCCCATATAGTAATTCATCCCCCATAGTAATTCATCCCCCATATAGTAATTCATCCCCCATAGTAATTCATCCCCCATATAGTAATTCATCCCCCATATAGTAATTCATCCCCCATAGTAATTCATCCCCCATATAGTAATTCATCCCCCCTATAGTAATTCATCCCACATAGTAATTCATCCTCCATATAGTAATTCATCCCCCATATAGTAATTCATCCCCCATATAGTAATTCATCCCCCATATAGTAATTCATCCCCCATATAGTAATTCATCCCCCATAGTAATTCATCCCCCATATAGTAATTCATCCCCCATAGTAATTCATCCCCCATATAGTAATTCATCCCCCCTATAGTAATTCATCCCACATAGTAATTCATCCTCCATATAGTAATTCATCCCCCATATAGTAATTCATCCTCCATATAGTAATTCATCCCCCATATAGTAATTCATCCCCCATATAATAATTCATCCCCCATATAGTAATTCATCCCCCATATAATAATTCATCCCCCCTATAGTAATTCATCCCACATAGTAATTCATCCCCCATATAGTAATTCATCCCCCATATAATAATTCACCCCCCATATAGTAATTCATCCCCCATATAGTAATTCATCCCCCATAGTAATTCATCCCCCATATAGTAATTCATCCCCCATATAGTAATTCATCCCCCATATAGTAATTCATCCCCCATATAGTAATTCATCCCCCATATAGTAATACATCCCCCATATAGTAATTCATCCCCCCTATAGTAATTCATTCCCATATTGTGTCAATTCACTTACCTGTACTCCGCGCGTTCCTCTCGCCGTGTTCCCGCGCAGTTCTGGTCTTCAGGGCAGACTGTGAGAGGAGAGGAGTTTGTCACGCTGCCCCGCCTACATCCTGACAGCCAATGTTTGCCACGCTCCGCGGGCTGGATTATAAGGTCCGCCGGGCCGTAGTTTGCCCATTGCTAGGCTAGCTGCAGAGTCCTGACTTTTGGGGCGGCCGCCCGAGAGGAGGGAGGGGAGCGGGCGCCCGGCACACAGAAGAGCTGCATTAACCTCCCTGGCGGTATGATTCCTTCCGATTTTTTGTGCTGAAAGCGGTACCATTTTTTTCGCATGGAAATAGTTTTTTATTGTAGGCTGTAATTTTTAGGAAAATTTCCCCACCAATCATTATCACTCAATTCTGCAAGTGGTTCTGATTTACTATCGCTGTTCTCTAGCCGCTCTAAAA